AAGCAGACCCAGTAATGGGTGACTTGCTTGTAACAGTCACATTACTCTCGGAGTCTCGGGCGCTTTTGCTACTTCGCCCTCCGATAAACACGACCAAACACGCCCATATCAGGCAGGTGAATCACGTGAGCCGGGCCTCCGGTGTCGACTACCAAATTGAGAAGCATCCTTTACACTAATGTAAATCTGCCTTGCTGTGCAGTACATAATTAGTATATAACGCTGCATCTGTATTCCCTCGAAGTCTAATGGTTAAAGCGTTAGTGATTTGTGTTGTGGATGAGAGTTCAAGACGCGGTGGTGCACATTTTATTTATTTATCTTTTTCTGTCTAACATTGTCGGGAGTCCATCAGACTACGCTCATTTCTCTTAGATGTAGAAGTAGCAAATTTTTTTGAATAGTTTATTTCTCCTCCCTAGAGCTCATTTGTAGCCACTATTTACTTAGGACTGCTATACGCGGGAAAGCCCTCAGGCGGCGCCGGCGGCGCGGGAGGTCACCTGACTTACCTACCGCATTAGGTGTTGCTTGGTTGTGTTGATCGGAGGGCGAAGTAAGTCCAACTAGTCTCGGGTGGGAGCCTAAGGTCCGAATATGGACGGAAAGTCACCTATCGGGTCATATGGCATGCTTCGCTTTGTAAAACTGAGCGTCCGAGGGTTTTTCATATTATAAATGCAGACTGCGTGACCCATTGTCACGCCCATGACGCAATCGTGACAGATTTACTTCCTGACCCACTGATGGTCGCCGTGAAAGGACATAGTGTCCTTTTTCCTGCCGTCCGGAAAAAGGACACCTGCTTTGCCCGCCGTGTAAGATGATCTGGCAAAGGACCCCTGAAAATACCGATAGATGCCGGTGCCAGTCCGGACAAAAAAAGCGGCTCGGGCAAGGGACGCCGGAGCCAGTCCGGACGTAGGTAGGGGTCTCAGCCGGCCAACCCGGTTTTTTAGTCCGGACACCAACGGCACCCCAGCAGGGAGGCCGGCTGTAGTCCGGACATGGTCAGCAACCCGCCACTTCGTCGCGACTAGCTAGTACATTATCATTAGATTCATTACCCCGTATGGTATTTCTCACCGAATAAGGATAGACATGCCTCCCCTGTAGTCGTGAACCCTCGGGTACCCCTTAGTTGCACGGAATCATACAGTTTACGCTGAAATCCGGAGGCACACATGGAAGACACAGCTGGGTGCCGGATGGCTCCAATATCGCTGCGGTATCATATCTCGCCGTCCAGGGCTACGAAGCCATGAACGGGCGGGTATTTCGCACTGTCTCTCAGACCCTGGCAATGCTCGCTGCCTGCCGAATCACTCAATTTGCCTGCCACATCTATCCTTTGCATGCTGGAGACAAGCCCGAAGGCTCTTCCGTTATCTATTGAACTTTCTACCTCAGACTATGCACGTTTCAGGTTTTCATACACCCTAGTATATATATCTAGTGTATAGAATGACTTGTGGACTACAACGGGTGATTTTTGCTGTTTCCTAGAGGCCGGGGCAATAGTCCGGACATGAATCTGACCTTGGCCGAGGCCGGTATTTTATCCGGACATAAAGGCGGGGGGCCGCCAGAAAAAGTCCGGACATGACAAAATCGAGTCTTGCACCGGCATCTATCGGTATTTTCAGGGGTCCTTCTGGCAATCCCGAATCTTCCATGAAGCGGTAGAATTTCATGCACTCATATATGTAGGCAGCGACGACAATGCGGAGAGCACGGAGGTCTGGAATCTTCGTGCATTGCGAGAACAGAACATTCTCAGGCTTCTCGTGATTAGGAGAGGGGCGGTATAGAATGAGGAGCGAATTATGATCTGTGCAAATAATCTTCGACCACGGGCGGGACGTAAGGCCGTAGCAGTCGACTGCCTTTTACGGAACGCACGTTTTACGCACGCGGAAGCTCGGCAAGCGCCGTATGGCGTCACGTCGTCTTTGCTATTGCACCCCCGCGTAAACACAACCAAATATTACCTTTTCGAGAAGAATATCATGTGACCTCCGACCCCTCCGGCCGCGTCACTAAAAATAACTGGACCCAGCCGTATTAAGTAAACGGCTATTATATTGCCATCATATTATTGTAATGCATGAGATTTGCATTGCCTCTTTAGTGTAGCGGTTACGCGGCCTGTCTTGGGTGCTGGACATCTGAAGTTCAAATCCTACCGTTGCAGAATCCTTCGATTTGTGCTTTTAGGGTTAGGGTTTATTAATTTTCCTTACTGTTAGCTTTTATATTATCCTTGTCAGCCACATGTATCACAGCTATATAGATTTCAATGAAAATCTATTTTGCCCGGTCTATATGACCCTCTTAGTCCAGACTTGAAGACACTCTTACTGGCCGGACACGTGCGCGGCAGGAAGCCCGCGTTTGCCGGCATCACGTGACATTCTTCTCAATATGGTATATTTGTACATGTTTGCACGGGGGCGCAGTAAAGCTACCTGCGTCACGTACAGAACCAAATAAGGCAGTAGGGCCGTGCGAGCGGCAGAGCCCGCTACCGTAGACATAGATAAGATTTGGTAGCAAGCTGAAAACTTGACATCCTGAGCAGCATCATATACTAATATATTTATTTTGCGAAAGCAGTTGTGTTCCAGCCATGATTTCCAACTGAGCATTCACCTCAACGATTTGAAGAGATGTCCACTCACTCCTCCCTCAGGTTCTGAGTATACGAGTCATTTATGTAAAACAGCTGACATTGAAGTATGCTGCTTTCACCTGGAGACCGCATCTCCAACGCCCCAAGCTAGGTCATGTCTGTTCTCTCGAGTCCCTTGACCAGCATCCGCCACCTTGGCTAAAGATGGAAAGAGAGGTGCCATGTGGTTCTACGATTGGGGTCCTTTGAGGACCCCATCTTTGATTGGTCCAAAGCCGTGTGCCGGTCCTGCCGTCCGCCATATACGGCTAAGAGCCAAATAGTATCAAATAGATCACGTAGATCTTGAAACGATCGCAGGAAACCTGCGAATGGCCGGGGGGTCCAAGACCCACTACCTACGGTAGCGGGAATCTTATGCCATCTGGCTAAGTCCATTCATCATACATACCCTACCGTAGTTCTCGTGTTCTAAGATAGTTATTTGTCAGGCCTTTATATGCAATGAGGTGTAACAAGAAGGTCTAGTAAATTGTAATTAATGTGGTGCATATGAATTATGTCTTTTTTGAGCTTTCTCCGGAGACGGACCTATAATGTCGAGGCGATTGCGCTTACTCGCTCGCGGGGTAGACAAGAGAGTCGCGGAGGGAACATCTGTAGCGATAACTGGAGTCGAGTCTGCATCCTTCGATGACGCATGGGCGGTAGCAACCATACGCGAGAGCTCTGTAGTTAGAAGCCCAATCTGGGCATTGAACAAGCGTGTGTTGGCTATATCGCTGTCGCTCGTGAGGGTTGCATCCTTGAGGTAGAATGCCATGTCAGCGAACTTTGGAGCAACTTGCGATAGCTCGTAGAAGACACGAGACACCGCCTGCTGATCGATACCAGCCTTCGCGATTGTTCGAAGGTCTGTGAACTCGTATGCAGACCCCGTCTTGTCAGGTGCATCTGTCGCTACACTTTCCGTGTCGTCCGAGTCTACATCACTTTCTCCCTCGGGCTCCGCATGAATTTCTGTTTCATATATGCCGTTAGTCTCACACAAGGATCCCTCAACTGCAGCTGCAGCGCGATTGATTGGATGGTCGGCATGTTCATCCGGATTGTCTGCTGACACGGTTGTATCCATCATAAGCCTTGTTTGCAGGGCACGTGCCTCTTGAGCCGACGTGGGCAGGGTTATTACAGGCAGTGAGGGCAGACTGGACATCCGAAGGTGGTTCATATATAGTAACGCGGCCCGTATGTGCTTGCAGGCGCCTCCACGGTGCGTGAAGTCTTTGCACTCGCATTCAGCAGTGCGACTGAACCCGATAAATATTTTATATTTGATGGGGGAGGTATCCAGCTCGGTGGCAAGAGAAGAATAGCACTCGAACACGAACCCATCCCCGACCATAGACGGTGCACCTATCTGCGAGTGTGTGACAAGCTCCTGTGCGGCCAAGTCCCGCTGCTCATCTGGAACGTGGTATGCGACAGGTGGAAGAACAAGCTGATTCCGACTGCCGGCATCATCACGTCGAGCTAGCAGCTTGTCCCCGCCAGGGAGTCGTCGGATCAGACTCTCCCGACATGCGTCGTCCTGCTCCTCGAAAGCACGCTGATGAAATATCGATGGTAAGACCTTTGTTACAAGAATCTTCAAGAGCATATCTTCCCGAAGCCGCCGCCCACCACGCTGCCACCGGCGGAGATGTTTCCGCTTCAGGACGCAGTTGAAGGATTCGAGATGATTGGTAGTAGGTAATACACCTTCGAATGGACATTTCATAATCCGGGCGGTGACTTGCCGCCCGTAGTCAGACCAACTGCACCATAATGCTTCCTTACACCAGTAGCCCAACAAATAATTGACGAGATGGTCAAGTCCATTTTTAGCGATTCCGGCATGGGTTCCATCAAGCATCGCCTCAAAAAACTCCTGTTCCTGCGCAATGACAGTACGTGCTTCATCCAGAGTAGTTGTCTTCACTAATGCTTCTTCAACACGTCGGAGGCGGTTCTTGACGGTTAGATGGACAGGTGAGTTACCCCTCAATAGCCGATTGCGGTGCTTTCGCCAAGACTGCCGCAGATGAAACTTGCAGATAAGAAGCCAGATCTTTGGGAAGACATGAATCAAGGCGCCGCGTTCCATCAAGTCAGTGTCGGTTATTGCGACAAGTGGTTCAAACACGATGCCGTTACGGGTCCTGAGTGAGTGCTTCCATTTCTCCAGAAGTCGCGAAATCACGTCCGTATTGTACCCGGCTGACGTTTGCTTGTTCCCCGATGGCGCAGAGAATAGCATAAATGCTAGCGGTACGCCCCTCCCTTTGTTATCAACCCCCATGACGATAAAGAGCAACAACTTTTTATTGCTGATCCCGAACGTTCCATCTAGGATGACTTGCGAGCCATGCGCGTACTTCCACGCTGCATCCCGCATGTCTTTCGTCGCGATGCAGATTTCGAAGCGGTCCCCTTTCTCGGCATGCGCTGAGTAGTGAAACACGGCATCAGCCAGTGTCTTGTCATAACGCGGTGAGTTTTCATTGAGCCAGTCATCAATATTGATATGTGCGCGCTCGCTGACATGGATACCTTGCATTCGATTGAACTGGCGGTACAGAGACCGCGTATCGGACTGCTTGAGGAGCCAGCGGTACGGGGAGTCCTCGAGCGCCTTTGCTTGACCAGGGTAAGCACCGGCTGCTTGCATCTCTCGGTTCGTACTCTGAATATCCAAAAGAGTAGCACCCTCCCGCAGCTGCCTCAGTGCGGTATGATACACAGAAGGGTGCAGGGGTATCATTGGTTCTCGCGCGATCTCAGCATGTCGGCATTCTTCGTTATGGGTGGTATATCCTTGAATTCGAAGGTCTTGCGTTTTCAGGTGGAATGTCACCTCAACATGGGAAAGGCACCCTGTGTAGTCAAACAGGGTTCGGCGTTCCTTCACGCCTTTGACTTGATGATTGTACGAGCAATGACTGATTACCGCCCTTCATCTGATACAAGGAGGACATTATGATGAAGAGTTATGGAGGCAGCAGCACGCACAGTGCGCCCTACACAACTCACCTGTATTGGTTGGATGCTATAGCTACTGGTAAAGCTCGTATGAACGACCCTTGTCATTAGGCAGCAGAGCTGCAGGGTTTATATACACTGTGGCCCATAGGCTGACTAAGCTACGTGGAATATCTATAATCCTACTGAGCTCCACCTATGATGTCACTGACCCACATGAGCTCTGTGCCCTGTACAATAATGGAATATACCAGAATATTCCAGAGGGTTCCGGTACGTTCTGGTGCATTGTAGAACCTGGCAGCTAAGTCAGCGCCTAGTTCAACACATTACTGACCATTGATAGAGTACCCATTGATAAGCCTCAGGATTGTCTGACCCCCGAAAACGCGGACTCAGCGCATCGTACAAGCCCTCCGGAGCTTATTCAACACAGCGCTCACATGCCTCTAGGCTTCTATGGGCTCTAAAGACTTGCTCTGTTTCAGCTCCAGACTTCCTAGCATCCTCGAGGCATACACGGATCCATTCCGTGATTTATCTCCGCGAACAGGAGCTCCGGAGCGACTTAACCAATGCGACTTCTAGATGAATTAGCTCCGGGGCTGCGGACACTTCTATTGAGGGGCGTCGTCCTCATGCCCCCCCTCCAGCACAATCCCTCTCTCGTTTCCATCAAAATACCGAAGGTGCAGACGTATACAAGTCACCATGAGGTTAGCATCAGTCAGCAAGCGGCCGGAGGTAATTAGCACATGACCGGCGCATCACGCGGAGTGATGGGACCGCTTAGGGCAGGTGGCGGGGCGTCGAGGCGACCTCTAGGGGCTGGGACGAGCAAGTGGGAGTGCAAGAGAGCCGTATGGTGCATGGTATAGCGGCGGCAAGTGCTGAGCAATCCTGTGGGTAGCGGCGGTTATTTGTTATTTATCTCCGGGCGGTCGCAAAGCCATTCCTGTAGTATAAATTGTACAAAGTAGTGTACAGAAAAACAAGTTTCGACTTCACCATCTCAGAGAATTAGCGTTACGATCTCAGCGACCCGAGAAGTTCGAAAGCGCCAAACTTAGCGAATTATAACCGATCCTAGCTTTGCCAATAGGCCTGACTCGTCGAGTGAATTATCTCCGCCATCGATTCAATTAGCTCCGGTGCGCCTCACATAGCGAAATAAAATTAAACAACTCTTTCTAGCGTTTCCTACTCCCGTGGGCCCGAACCTACACTCGGTTCCATGGTTTGCGACTTCGTTTGCGACTTTCCGGAGATAAATACTCCGGAGTGTCCATTAGTGTTTGTTTCAGGCATCAAGGTTTTTGTTTTATTTTTCTAGGTCTTCCTACGGACTACCCTACGGCGTCTTACTCCTCCTTTCCCCCTCGAACTATTAAATACCCTTCAGTTGTCTCGGACCGCCTTCACCCATATCACGGGGTTTAGGTTTATTCCTTTTGGTCCTTGGTGATTGTTGTGTGTCTGTGCATATCACCGTCTCGACTGCTCTAAGCCCGTACCTGACGTATCCGCCCACCGGCTAGTCCACTTATACCCCAGGGACTCCTTCGCATTAAGATCCAAACCAAGGGATGCAAGTTCCACCCCTGCCCTGCACTGATCTTCTGCATTCCGTTGAAAAGTGTGGTCCTGAGTTTGACCAGATGAATACAGTTGCTCTATTTGGTTTCTCTGCTCTGGGGTGAGCACCAGGCGGTCTTTATATACTTCTGCTGCTTGACGTAGTGCTGACATTGCAACCTTGTCGCCCCTTGCCTCTTCAGGGGTTACTGTAATCCGTCGTTGCTTGCGGGGGGCCGCTTCTTCACAGGTTTCGAGCCAGACATCAAGCCAGACAGTAGACAGATATAACGTAGGATTTGGCTTTGTGATGAGCAAGGAACTACAGTATGTTTCTCCTCCTTCAGAATATGCCATTCCAAGTAATCCTTAGCACGTGTTGAGCATCTCCCCTCTTCAAGCAGACATTTGCTGTAGCAACTTCTTAGCTAGATCAGTATCATAATGTTCATAGATGGCTCGATAGACTCCATTGTATTGTGTGAATTGACTGCTCCGTGAAATGGGACCTACAAAAGTCCTTCTCAATGGTGAGTAGCCTCATGTCATTGCGCCTATCATATGCCCGATGTAGCTGGACGGCGCTTGCCGAGCTTCCGCGTGCGTAAAACGTGCGTTCCGTAAAAGGCAGTCGACTGCTATGGCCTTACGTTGATATGCACTGACACACAACAATCACCAAGGACCAAAGGAAATAAACCTAAACCCCGTGATATGGGTGAAGGCGGTCCGAGACAACTGAAGGGTATTTAATAGTTCGAGGGGGAAAGGAGGAGTAAGACGCCGTAGGGTAGTCCGTAGGAAGACCTAGAAAAATAAAACAAAACCTTGACGCCTGAAACAAACACTAAGGGACGCTCCGGAGTATTTATCTCCGGAAAGTCGCAGACAAAGTCGCAAACCACGAAACCGAGTGTAGGTTCGGGCCCACGGGAGTAGAAATTGCTAGAGAAACTTGGTTAATTTTATTTCGCTATGTGAGACTCACCGGAGCTAATTGGATCGATGGCGGAGATTATTCACTCGACGAGTCAGGCCTATTGGCAAAGCTAAGATCGGTTATAATTCGCTAAGTTCGATGCTTTCGAACTTCTCGGGTCGCTGAGATCGTAATGCTAATTCTCTGAGATGGTGAAGTCGAAACTTATTTTTCTGTATGCTACTTTGTACAATTTATACTACAGGAATGGCTTTG